TAAAATATATACTCAAGACAATATATAGACATTATATTAAGTATTGACTAAAATAATATTCTTTATACAAACCGTAAAAAAATATTAATGGGATTAGTGTTAACATAATGGTAATGAATCATGATTATATGATAAGTTGAAACAGATATTTATTTATATTTGTTTTAAGTCTAATGTTTAAAATGGTGAATGACCAATAATGCTGAAGATGGACATCAAAAAATAACCTATAAAAAAAAATAGAGTAGAGTATGAGAAATAAAATATATGTTAAAGATTGCATATACTTTTTAAGGGGCAATGTATAAGTTATGTATACAATCAACAAAAAACTTAAGGGATGTAAAATGTATGCATTTTACTTTATTATATGCAGTTAAAATGCAAGAACACAAGGCGCACATGTGCAAAATAGGACAAAAGCATACTTCTTATCTCTTATACTATGAATTAATCCATGAAATGTATGAATAGAGTAACTATAGTAATGTTCAAATGTCCATCATTTTTGAAATTTCATCTGTACAATACTAACTTATTTTTTCTTATATATTATATAGATACATTTTTCAGAAAAGACAATAGTAGGTTTGAATTATTATAAAATAAATATTAGAACATCAAATAGTTTTAAATATAAATTTATTAAACACATTTTGATTGATTSATTTTAATATGAACAGTAAGAATATTAACTATAAGTGCATTTTTTCTTTTTATATTTACTATAATAAAGCAAACATAATATGTTAAATGTAATATTATTAAATTGTATACTCTTCTTATTACATTTAACATGATATACATTTTTGTTTTGATTAAAAAATATTTTTCCTCAAACTATTAGGTATGTTTCTCAATTGCTAAGTTTTAAAATGACTGAATAGTATCTKCACTGTTCTACACCATAAATGCATCAATATTAATACCTACACATAAACTAGCAGTGACTTAACAAGTTAACAAATTAACAATATAATATTAATTTACTTATATTGATACTAATTGTGTATCAAATTTACAATAGTAACTGTAATAAAACGTTAATGTACACATTGGAAATATTTATTATCAATACACATGATATTTTATGATCTTTTAATGCATAAATACAAAATGTAGAAAAATATTTTAAAAGTTAATATGGTTCAAATAAAAATCATTTTATTTAACATAATACAGTTTAATATATTATATAATAAATATATTTACTTTGAAATTTGAATTACTATATATATAATTAATGTTTATAAACCAGTATAAATAATGTTAAAAATTTTGGCACGTCCATGAAAATGTTCGTTGAAATCGACAGAATTGACAGCATTTAAAGAAGAACATAATTAATTTTAATAATTATAAACTCAGTCAAAGTTTACCAGTCGATTTTGGTGTATACCGTCATTGATACATTTAGAAAAGCATTAAGCAGTAAAATAAAATAATATTATAAATAACATAAAACAACCAAAATAAATATAAATGTATATGAATATAGTTATTTGTTTTGATGAGATGGTAAGTTMTCTTGTTATTGAAAACATTAGCTCTCATCTTATACTTTGGAACACAAGTTTTGTGGATATACAATTTTGAAAAACTATTAATTATTAATAATAATAATAACTTCACTAAAACTTTGAAAAATGCCTTCAGCAAATTAACTTTGTAGGTCATGGATGAATTTGCAATTAGAAATGTCCCTTTTATTCAATTGTATTTTTGTTTAAACAATTTAAGTTATCATTTCTAAATATTTTTGTTTATGTTTATTTAACATTTCTGTAACTGTGACCAACTTCTTTAATGATGGTTGATTTTTACTAAGATTTTGAAGTTCAATTAAATGCGTTTTACAAATGTGATGTAGGGTGCCTAAATTACGGGCAGGGTCACCTTTGATYTTTTCTCCCTCTGATTCTGGTTTCTCAATCACATTGGATAACTGGTCTAAAAACACAATCATTCTCTCTTTGTTCTTCAATATAAACGGATTAACAACTTCCATGTAAGGCTCTTTGCCTCCAAACTCTACCAAATTGGCCAAGTTCTGCAAGCATTTTGCCACCATAATCAGAGATCTAGCAGCCATGGGTGGTGGTGGTTCTGGAATTAGATTGAACTGTCTAGGATTTAAGATTGCTGGGCATAGGAGTCGTAAGAATATAAAACCAGAAACTACTCTGGTCCTGACTAATCTTTCATACGGCCACTTATTCATTACCATTCTCTGTAGACATCCACAAATATATCGTAGAGTACGAGGGCAAGCATCAGCTGACATAAATATGGATTGAGTGATCTCATCTAATACTAACAAAAGAAACTCAGCATTGTCACAAGCATCGTCCGGAGATTCCATTTTACATGGATTAAGTTCACATGACTGTTTACTTTCCAATAATTTGAACACAGTTTGTTGAATTGCAGATTTTAAGAAATCTGAACAAACAGATTTCATATAAAGGTCCATTAAAGTTGTAGTTAATGAAGCAGCCCTAAATAGAGTAGTAGTCTCATCCTCTTTCATTATTTCTACATCATTTAAACTTCTTAACAGATCAGCTTCTTTTTTCTCGTGTCGGAAAATTCCCATTAAAGATGTAGCCAAAGGCATGCGGTCCTGGTGGCATAGATCTGCTAGTGCTCGTACAGACTCTAAATCTGGGTCAAGAATTAGCTGCTGCATAGGTGAGTACTCTTCAGTTGGCATGATGAGATCGTGTAAATATCTAGTACGCAACCGTAGAGAACCCCATTCCCCAATAGGTGTTATACCACTTAACGGATACCAGTCTTCGACTTCAGCTCCATTGCTTAATGTATTCAAGTCTACAGTTAACTCAGCTACCTCAGTATCCTTAGATCGTTTTCCTTTGTTGTAAATGCTCACAGTGAATGTTAATACATCAGGAGGTACATCGTCCAAGGTGAACTCTTCATCAAATACAGGATCAGGTCCACTCTTAGCTCGAGTTCTAGCTACTTTTACTTGATTCAGAGATATTATACAAAATGGGTTTGGTACAAGTTTGAATGGCAAACGATGAGCATCCAAAATGTGCAGCTGTAAGCAACGTAATTCGCGTAATTTATGTGCTTTAGGAACTCTTGACAATTGAGTGACACAGTACATTCTTAAAGAGGAAAGCCATTCTTGAAATAAATCCTGTGTCGATAAAGATAAATAAGTTATGGTAGCCAAACACGGTAAAGCTCTTTCAACTAACTGGAAACAATTAGGTCTATCAAACACGCTTTCATGAACTGGATACAAGTATGCACAACTCAATTCTATCAAACCTTTAGGTTTAGTTCTTTTTGGATTATCATAAAAACACAAATGAGTATCAACTCCATCAATTAATAAGACAAAGTATAATGACTTCCATTTCTTGTTCTTGTCGCTTTTCTTGTACATATATCCCTGCATTTTTATTCCTTTAACTTTTTTGATCCCCACCTGTTCTCGACATTCTCTCAGTGTTGCGTATATTTTTTCAGCTTGTTGTACTTCTTGTTGTTTTATTGGTAATTCTAACAGCTCATGAGAGTTACGACACACAGGCATTACAAGAGTATGTCCCTCAACTATTTGTTCTTTACGGTATCTATTTATAACAGCATCTAAACATTCAAATGTACGACCACCCATTAAATAACGAACACCTTTTTTCTCAATTCGAAATCTTTGGATTTGATTGTTGACGTGAAAGAATAATGAATAATCACCCGGAGAATTATCACTTGGTCTCACTAAAAAACTTCCAGGACCAGATTTGACTAACATGTCTACAGCTTCATTTTTTGTTACACCTGGATGAAACCAATCAAAGACTGTATTTGGATCAATGTTTTCATCTAAATGATCAACCTGAAAATGTAATTGTTATAATGAATATAGTTGTTGGTCACTACTTTATTAGATAATTATGAACACTAATTGATTATTTTAAATTGATAAGGAACAATTGTTCTAAATTAACTAGGTATGACTGTTTTAATGATCATATTATTGTACTTATATCATAATATACTTAAACTATAATCAACTTATAGATTTTAATAAATAGTAAGGTCAGTCATGCCATCTTTATTCATCTACTTTTTCACTTTTGTAATGCTATTTGTGACAATAGTTATCAATTAATTACTTTAAATAGTAATAATAGTTTTAAATTAAATTTAAAGAAGAAGTAAGTATCAAAATTCAAATATTTGTTGAATTTCCAATTCATTATAAAAGTATCACTGTAGATTAAGATACAAATTAGAACCTTTAAGCCATCTAATTGTGAAATATTTTGAACTAGTTAAATCAGGATGTACAGAAATTAGATACTTACAAATACATTATTACACTAAATTAATCACTCATTTAATTTAATTTACCATGAATTATTTTTTAAGCCCTAATAAACAAAAAGTATTAGTAATAATTTAATACTATAACTTACTAAGTCTCTAAAAATCATTCCTTGTTCACCTGTTCTATGAGCAGTTACCCATAGCCATCCATCTCCCATGTCATTGTGTACAAAGAATATGTCACCTTTTTGAAATGTTAGTTCATCTGTATCTGGCATTTTAGTGTAAGGCAAAATTGCTACAACACGTTTTTTATCATTGACCGGTTCAGGAGGTGCTACTGGATACACAAGTCTCTCTCTTTTCAATAAGTCTGAACAATTTGTATAATAGCCAATTAAATCAGACAAACTATCAAACTGTCGGCCGCCTATATAAAAATCACCACATACAGCTGTCACTCTAAAGTGATTGATACCAGTACGTCCCAGATAGGACAGCACATATGAGCCTGGTTTACGATCACTTTCGCGTACCAGGTAACTACCCATTTCTGATGTTTGCCACAATCGTTCCTCTGCTGCATAACGACTTAACCGACCATGATACCAATGATTTTCAGGCGGTGCTTTTAATAATGATACATTATTCCTACCATCTAGTTCRTCTTGTTCTATGAATGGATCAAAGTCTTGATCGAGTATATCCTGGCTGTCTTCACTATTGAGACTTAGCGTAGCGTGTACCTTCTCACGCAACACCACACCTGGACCACCTCTAATGAACTCAGCCATAGTTTTCTTTATGAAGTCAATTGTGAACGGGCTCAAATAGCTTAATCTATCATTTCATTGCTCAACCCATCAACTGTTAATAACAATCCTGCAAACACGAAGTGTTTAATGGCGTTCACTGAAAACCACTGTCCACGCAATTAGCGTAAACGCTCAACGTCRACGTTGTTAAGTGTAAATGACTGAAGAATAATAAAATATGAAAACATTAATTTTTTAGTAATTGATTAAAAGAAAATATAGTCTGGTAATGCCTGATAACGGCGATTCATCAATGGTGATAATACAATACTATGTTATTTATGTTATCAGTTCATATTCAAATTATAGTTGTTACCACTTTATTTCTGTGCTACCACGTTACYACCACTGATCAAAACATGATCAATGATATCATTATATATATAATATGATATATTGTTCTGTGATGAT